TGTGTGGGAGTCCAGTGATGTAACCATTATGCCATACGCTGGTCCCCAGGGTTACTTTTATAAATAGTGGTAACAATTCACTTTTCCATTGGCAATATATAAAAGTGACCATAAACTAGAATCCTTGCTAGTGCGGGATGGTAGTCTTTACAATTTTCCAAATCTGATGGGTGAATAATGGTATTACTTTAACATGCATTTTCCTGAATATTAATGTTTAAGTATCCCTCTTTAAGTGTAGTAGTCATTACTTTTCTATTCGTCCTACTTATTCCTTGTTCTTTTTTATTTTCTTACTTGCCTTATTCTTAATAAATTATTTTAATTTTTTAAAAGAATTATTTAATTTAACTTTATTTATTTACTTATTTTTTACTTTGACCAGAGAGGGACCCAGAGAGAGAGAGAGAGAGAGAGAGAGAGAAAGGGAGAAAGCAAGTTGCCAGGTCCAGGACTTGAACTGTGTAGTTAGCCATGTGGGAGTCTAGCTCCAGCAGCTTTAACCACCATATCACTTCCTGCTGGCCCCTCAATAAATTATTTTCTATTATTCCATTTCCTTCCCTTTTAGTTAGTTAATTTTACGTTTTGTTTTACTACTCATTTAGGGATTATCCTAGAATTTAAACACACCTCTTTGACTTATGAAAGTCTAATAATATAAAGCTTCAGGTAGGGTTTCACAGGAGACAGATTCTGAGATGTAGATTAATGTTCTGGGAATTTAAGGAAGGCGGGGGTAGGGTAGATGCTCTGGCTTAACACCAGGAGAAGGAAGGAAAGGAAGCAGGTTTGGTGGAGGGAGGACTTGAGTTGTGATACAATTACAACAAAGGCCTAAAGTTCTTTCCAGGGGACCACTGAAGTTGGGACAGCCCATCAGAATTGTCTTGAGTTTGGGTGAGAGAGGGGACTTTTGTATTCATTTGTTGTCTAGTCCTTCAAGGCAGGCTGCCCTGGGAAGGGGACATGCTCTTGGACAAGGAGGATCTCTTCAGTTGATGACAACTCCCAAAGAGAGGTGACAGCTGAAGAAACAGCTTCTTAGGTCTTAAAGGGGATCAAGGTGGTACAGACATCACATATGAAATGGCACAGTTGCCCAGCTGTGGCGGTAGCACAGCAGTAGCACAATGTTCCAGTGCTGGAAACAAAGATTGGGGTTAAGTTCCCAGGTTGACCTATGTATGCTGGGTATGCGTGTACCCAGTCTCCGGCTGCCTTGGGGAAGATCGTGGTATGAGAGCTTGTTAACAGTGCCTCTCCCCTCCTCTTACTCTATCTCTTTCTCTCTCATCATGTTTATTTTTTTTTTTTTTCTTTTTGAGATTTTTGCTATAGGATGTGTGCGCTCACTGGAGAGACAGAGACAGAAAGTGAGGGATGGGCATGCCATAATCCCTTCTCCCTTTTCTCCTCTGGGGATTTTGGGCATGCGTGCGCACATGCCTGGCATGAGTTTTGAGATGCTGTGTCTGGGACTTGATCACCGTCAACTGTGTGGGAGTCCAGTGATGTAACCATTATGCCATACGCTGGTCCCCAGGGTTACTTTTATAAATAGTGGTAACAATTCACTTTTCCATTGGCAATATATAAAAGTGACCATAAACTAGAATCCTTGCTAGTGCGGGATGGTAGTCTTTACAATTTTCCAAATCTGATGGGTGAATAATGGTATTACTTTAACATGCATTTTCCTGAATATTAATGTTTAAGTATCCCTCTTTAAGTGTAGTAGTCATTACTTTTCTATTCGTCCTACTTATTCCTTGTTCTTTTTTATTTTCTTACTTGCCTTATTCTTAATAAATTATTTTAATTTTTTAAAAGAATTATTTAATTTAACTTTATTTATTTACTTATTTTTTACTTTGACCAGAGAGGGACCCAGAGAGAGAGAGAGAGAGAGAGAGAGAGAGAAAGGGAGAAAGCAAGTTGCCAGGTCCAGGACTTGAACTGTGTAGTTAGCCATGTGGGAGTCTAGCTCCAGCAGCTTTAACCACCATATCACTTCCTGCTGGCCCCTCAATAAATTATTTTCTATTATTCCATTTCCTTCCCTTTTAGTTAGTTAATTTTACGTTTTGTTTTACTACTCATTTAGGGATTATCCTAGAATTTAAACACACCTCTTTGACTTATGAAAGTCTAATAATATAAAGCTTCAGGTAGGGTTTCACAGGAGACAGATTCTGAGATGTAGATTAATGTTCTGGGAATTTAAGGAAGGCGGGGGTAGGGTAGATGCTCTGGCTTAACACCAGGAGAAGGAAGGAAAGGAAGCAGGTTTGGTGGAGGGAGGACTTGAGTTGTGATACAATTACAACAAAGGCCTAAAGTTCTTTCCAGGGGACCACTGAAGTTGGGACAGCCCATCAGAATTGTCTTGAGTTTGGGTGAGAGAGGGGACTTTTGTATTCATTTGTTGTCTAGTCCTTCAAGGCAGGCTGCCCTGGGAAGGGGACATGCTCTTGGACAAGGAGGATCTCTTCAGTTGATGACAACTCCCAAAGAGAGGTGACAGCTGAAGAAACAGCTTCTTAGGTCTTAAAGGGGATCAAGGTGGTACAGACATCACATATGAAATGGCACAGTTGCCCAGCTGTGGCGGTAGCACAGCAGTAGCACAATGTTCCAGTGCTGGAAACAAAGATTGGGGTTAAGTTCCCAGGTTGACCTATGTATGCTGGGTATGCGTGTACCCAGTCTCCGGCTGCCTTGGGGAAGATCGTGGTATGAGAGCTTGTTAACAGTGCCTCTCCCCTCCTCTTACTCTATCTCTTTCTCTCTCATCATGAAAAAAAATAAGTAAAAAATAGTATTTTTATCTTTTCTTAAGCAATGTAAGGACCTTAGACCTCTTTAACTTTATTCGACTCTTTTGATTTCATGTTATTGTTGTTTATATTACAACATATTTTAACTCCCATGACATAATTATTATATCTTTATTTAAGTTTAACCACATGCTTACCTTTTCTGTGACTCTTCAATCCTTTCTGCATCTCTCTGAGCTTCATTTGGGGTCCTTTTCCTCTGCTTGAAGAATTCTCTTTTGAATTTACTCTATTATAGTTCTGCTACTAATAAATTATCTTCATTTTTTTGGTCTTAAAACATCTTTATTTCATTCTTGAGGAATATTTTTTAAAAGAATTTTTGCTAGAGGTCACATACACTTGCTGGACAGGGGTGGAAAGAGATAGAGAAGAGAAAAGTGAGACAGCACTTCCTAATGGGAAATGGTCATGCTGCAAACTCTTCTCCATTTCTCTTTTTGGGATTTTGAGCACACACGCATGTACACCTGATGTGGTTCATAGGTCTCCAGTGCCAGGACTTGAGCCATGTAATTAGCCTTGTGGGATCCAGTCACCTTAGCCATCACACTGCTGGTGGCCCTTTCAAGAATATTTTTATTAGAATAGACTTCCAAATTGGCAATTATTTTCTTTCATTTGAAAATACCATAGTTTTGCCTTTTTTCTTGAAGTATATTTTAGTAGTCATGGAATTCTTGACTGGTAGTTTTTTGTTTCAGCACTTCAAATGTTTCAGCAATGTCTCTTCTAGTTTCAGAAGAGTCAGTGACTTTTCTAATCATTGTTCAGCTGTATGTTGCAGTATTTTTCTCTGGCTGCTTTCGGGATTTTCTTTCTATCTTTGGTGTTTAGCAGTTTGAGCCTGATGTGCTTGGTGTAGTTTTCTTTGTGTATATCCCGCTTATTGATAATCGAACTTCTTGAATATGTAAATTTATATCTTTCACTAAGCTTGGGAATAATTTGGCAATTATTTTCTTATTACTTATGTCATATCCCATTGTCTTTTTCTTCTTCATCTGTAATTCCAGTTACATATATGTTAGGCTTTTTGGTATTGTCCAATAGTTACTTGAAATTCACATACTGAGCTAGAGTCTGCCTTGTGTTTGTGTGGTTCAGGCATGAGCCAGAAATCTGAGTAGAGTTTAAACACGGATATTGTGGATACACTTTCTGGCTTTTTCTCTTCTGGGATTTCTCTCACTTCCAGTGGCTATGGCTCTCCTGAACTCTTGTCTTCTGATTTTTTTAAGCCAGTGAGGTTGCGAGTGTTCTATTGGAATTCTATTAGATACAACTTGTACAGCCGTGACTTTGTCTATGTTTAGGCAAAATGTCATAAAAATAAAAATGGGTAATTCATCCTGTGCTATTCTTTCTTTTCAAAGTATTTGCTCTTTTTTATAATCTACCTGCATTTATTTCCCTTCCACTACTATCAGGTTATACTTTTTTTTTTTTTTTTCATTTTGTCCAGAGTTTATAATTGTGTTCTGTGGGGCATTTGGTTGTACTAGGAGCTATGCCACCATATTGAAAGTAGAAACCCAGTTGTTTTCTCTCAGCGCTTTGAAAATACCGTTTGTCTCCTGGTTTTGTATTGGTTCACTGTGCACTTGCACCAACCCACTTGCCTGAGTCTAGTGAGACAGAGCACTCACACAGAAAATTAAGTGGAACAATTTAATTACTCCCACATAGGCAGTGAAGGACAATAGAAGCCCAGGTTCATATTGAGCCAGTCCTCCAAAACTCAGGAAAGTTACTCGAGGTGGTCAGAACCTTGTCTGCATGTGTCCCACTTTACACCTGCTATGGTTTGAATATGTCCCTCCCCAAATCCATGTATTGAAATCTGGTGAGCCAATGAAAGTACTGAAAAGGCGAAGACTTAATCTGATTCTGGAGCTGAAAGGTGGGGCCTTTGGGTAGTTATTGGGCATTAGGATGAGGTTTCCATGATTACATCCTGGTGGGTTTATGAAGTGACAATGGGATGCATGTTTCTGCCCTCTGCCTTGTTGTGGTGCAGCAAGAAGACCTCTCCAGATGCCAACACCCTGCTATTGGACTTCTCAGCCTCCAAAACAGTGAGCTAAATAAACCTGTATGTTCTCATATTACTTAGACTCAGGTATTTCTGTCATTAGTGACAGAATGGACTAGAACAGCATCACAGCTAGAGTCCCTGAAAACATGCTCTACCCTGGGTTTTCTACTTGGGGTAATTTGAATCGCTGGTCTAAAACACTGCAGGACATCCTGTTCCAAGAGGGGCTGGGACAGGGCCCAGGGTGTTCCAGATGGCTCTTCCTTGTTTCAGAATGTTGCATTCCCAGCATATTTTACAGCTGTTCTTGAGAACTGTAAGTGACGAAGGGACTATGAGCTGGGTCGGCAAGGACATCTGGAGACTTGCCTACAGGCTTCTATTACCATTTTATTAAAGGTAATAAGACTTTTTAAAACAAAATATTTTCTCTTTTTTTAATTTTTAAATTATACTTGATTTTTGAAGTTTGTTTCTTTCTTCCATGAGTGGGAGAGAAAGAGACAGCACTCCACCAGGGTTCTGACAAAGCGATCCACCCTCAGCTTCAGCCTGCCCCAGATCCTGGACACATCTGGGAGTTCCAGCTGAGAGCTTCACATGTGTACCAGGGCCCCCTCTTTGGGGATTCCTGGACCTCAGTCTTTGCTTACCTCTCCATCCCAAACTGAGAGACGCTCTGCTCTGCCTTGTCTTTTAGCTGCCACTTTCTTTTCAGCCTTTCAGTCTTTCAGCTGTTGCTCTGAAAGCTGTACATGCCCATAGGTCAAAGGCAGTGACGAATATTGGACTCAATTTTCTGCCCTGCCCCTTAAATTCTCTTGGGCTGGTATGTCTCTGAAGCCATGAAACAGATTAAACAAATATTTCCTCCAGGTGTTCTAGTTGTTCTCAGTAGGAAAATGGGTCTTTGATGAGCATTGTCACCATTGCCAGAAGTGAGACTCCTCAGTTCCCCCCCATCAAGAACTCAGAATATGTTGCAGTGAATGTCACCTTGGACATAAATACCAACATATACGTGAAACATTTATGTAAGAAAAGAATTCATTAAGTTTCAAGGCTTACTATGAGAGTAAAACAGAATAAAAAATATAGGGGACCAGCAGTTACTGTAATGGCTATGTAGCTGGACTCCCATGTAGTCAACTGCGGTACGAGTGCCGGACCCAGTGGCTTAAACTCACGCCGGGTGCATGTGCGTGCGTACCCAAGATCCTGAGAGGAGAATGGAGGAGAAGGGATTGCAGCGTGGCCATTCCCCCTGGGGGGTGATTTCTTGCTTGCTATCTCTCTGTCTCTCTCTGTCTGTCTGGCAAGCACACGTGCCCTATAGCAAAAACCTCTCCATATA